CCAGGACACACTAAAGCCACTGCCTTACTTACAAGACATGCAGAAAAGTGAGCGATCCATGGAGAATCATCTTGCAACAAGAGGAGTGTGGGAGGTTCTCTTCCATCTGAAGGTTTGGTGAAGGAGAAAGTGGTGCACCTCTCAAATTGGAAAGATGGTTGCAGAGTTGCATCTCTGTCTTCTAAGCATTGACATCAGTCCTTGGGGCCAAAAGGCTGCAATCTTAGAAGTGAGGGATGAGCCTGTGGTCTGTAGCCCTTTGTGGCATCAACTCCTGCACATTTGAGAAGGTGGTATTCTCACTCTTATCTCCCTGCAGCAGGTTATGGAGAAGATGATCATCCAGACTTTTTTTGCTTCTCTGCTCCTGAGCTTTGAAAGAGGCAGCCTATCTAAGAGCCCAGAGCAAATTTTCCTTTCTGGTTGGGGCAGATGGGAAAGGAGATGGTGCATTGTGGATTGTGGCTTCAGAGGAGGCAGCTTTGGTGCTGGGAAGGGTAGAGGTATGGCAGAAACCCAAGAGGGACACCTTCCTATGCAGGTCCAACTAAGGTTTGATGAAAATAGAGATTGTTTCCAGAACACTGACTAGGATTTAGAGAGAAACCCTTGCTATCCCAGCCTCTCTCTTAGTGAATAAGCAACAGCATTCAGGGCTGGGATGGAGAACCTAGTCTCTTTCCTGCAAAGGTTTAGAGGGCAGTTTTGGATTGCAATGCCAAGACGGTCTGGATTCCAGTACCAGGATGCCTATAGTTTTTGAGTTATAAAGGGAAGGATAGGTCATCCATGGTTACTTTCCTGGGATCTTTACTTCCTGCTCTAATTTGTATTCTATATTAAAAAGACACAACAGGGGCAAAGTGATAGGATAGTGGATTTTTATTTGTTAAAAGGACCTCTGACAGAGATGCGATTCTGCAGCCAGATGACCTAGTCCCGTGGTCCGCAAACTGCGGCTCGCGAGCCACATGCGGTTCTTTGGCCCCTTGAGTGTGGCTCTTCCACAAAACACCACATGGGGGCGCACGTACAGTGCGATTGAAACTTCGTGGCCCATACGCAGAAGTCGGTTTTCGGCCTGGGTGAGTCTATTTTGAAGAAGTACTGTTGATATTTGGCTCTGTTGACTAATGAGTTTGCCGACCACTGACCTAGTCCAATCGTTTAACTGAAATT